TCTGCCACTGCAAGTCTGCAGTGAAAGAGTAGAGGTCCATGAACCGAAAAGAGAGGGGAAAGTGGGTGATATCCGGGGTGAAGACTGACCAGTCAGACGGTGGAGCCCTGTTCAGCAGTTCCTATGTAGTGGAGAGTGTGTGCATGAGGACCGAGGCCTGCTCTCATCTGGGGGCCGCTCTGGACACTGCACGCTGCTGTGGATGGCATCGGTGCGGCCAGCCGGTATCCAGTGAGCATTCAGACCTGCTGTACTCTGATCCGCTTTTACTCCACACTGCACTGCATCCACAGTTTTTGGCAAATACTACTTTCATGGAAGATGTTATATAATAGCATATACTGGCTTGAAATGAAATAAACTTTAGTAATGCTTATATCACAAATTGGTGTTGAGGAGATAGTTTAGCAGTTAATAGCACTGGATGCTCTTCCAGAGGACCTGGATTCAATTCCCAGAATCCACATGGCAGCTCATAATTGTGTGCAACTCCAACCCAGGGGATCCAATGTCCTCTTCTGGCCTATGCAGACAAAGTCCCATAATACCCATAAAAGTAAATAATTAAAGAAAAATTACATGAGTTGTAACTTCCCTCGGTTGGCTTACACTGTGAACTACTCCAAAACTGACGTCACCCAAGCCCAGCACAGACAAACAGGGTATATTAAATGGACAACTATAGCATAATCTGAAATTTAAAAACCAACCTCTCAACCCGTTTCTTAGACTGATTGTACAATCTAATGGAGCACCAAAGACTGGACAGCTTAAATACCCAACATTAACAGCTCACAATTCTAGATGCTGGAAGCACAAGAGCAAAGGGGCAGCATGGTGGTCTCTGCTGAGGGCTTCTCCAGGCTCATCACAAGGGCCCCACTCTCCAGACTCCATTTGCACCTGTCTTCCACAGACTCCAACTCCCACACCAACGAAAGGCTTCTATGCTCCTGCTTCAGGGTCCTTGGCATAGCCAGCTCATGCCAACAAAACACTGTCAAGAAGACTTCATTTGCTCAGGGCTTCCTCCACTCTCTACAGGAAAGGAAGTAGTCAAATAGTGAATGTATCAACAAGATTCTATTAAGTTTTCAAGAAAGTAGCAGAAATAGGGCAGGAAAAAGACGACCAGCCTTAGTCAGAAGTTGGAAAAATATTGTCTCATGAAGTAACTGCAAGACTACTATGACCTAAATAATGACCCTCTAATGGTGGTTCATCATTCCCATAATGCCCTTGTTCTCCCAGACATGCTAAGGCATAATACCTCCTCGACAGCAAACATTTAGAGGGCAGAGGACCTCAAACCAAGCACAGCAAATATCCTTGAACTATTTCCCCATTACATGTCTACAACTGAGAAAGGTCAGAAATTGAGAATCCTTCAAATGGTCATAACACAAACACAGCACTGGGAAACAGCTGGCCCTTTCCAACATTATCTCAGGTACGTAAGCCTGGGAGCGACGTCTTAGCGTGTTCTTCTGACAGTGCACACAGACTCATCTTTTCTTCTATGTTCTATATGAAAAAACTCTAACTGAGGAGAAGTCTGCGGTGTAGCCGCTAGGTAAATTATATGAATTTAATGAGCCCCACACTCATCTCACATTGGCTGCTGAGATCTGTAGCTTTGTTCTAGAATGGCTGAGGTCGGAGGCTGATCTCAGAGAAGTAGAGAGAGAGAGCAGGAGCTCCCTAGAGACTGCGAACTGGCGTTTTCAAAAATAACAGGTTCCTTTGCCACCGGGAGAGAACAAGGCTTATCCATTACAAGTCCGTGTTTTCCTCTTGCGGTGATGTTGTTAAACAACAAGAAACAACCTATTACCAACACTTCCCAACATTGACTGACAGCAAAACCCTGCACACCCGAGGCTTCGCCATGACACACAGCACAACAGAGGAAAGGTGACAACGGGGCACACAGACATCCTTGGAGCAGGCACAGTGGTTATCAACATTAAAACCACATTTTACCAAATCATACATTATCAGGTCAACTTGAAAAGTTATGCCATCTTATAGAGCAAAGCTCCAACCCGCATCAATGACTACAACTCTGTCGTTTTCCCTGTTTGTGCACGGATCTTTACAGGAATATCAATCCCAAGAGGTCCTGGGTTATAGGACCAGGAAGCTTCTGTAGCCAGCCCTGAGTGACCTGTGACCTAAATCACTGAGAACTGTAGACTACATGAATATACAGCCAGAATCTACGTTTCCAGAGACTTCATACAGAATCACATGTGAACTTAGAGACTCAGACTGGGCGCTCATTTTCATCTTACAGAACGCTTCCTTTTTACCACAGTTGACACACTTCAACTGTGGAACTATGTAGGGGCCAGCGCTGGCTGCTGTGCTTCACCCTCACCAACAGCCCCTCTGGGGCTCTTTCCAGAGACTCCGACCCCCTTTATGCCTCGAAACGCATGACCAAGTTCATGTGCCAGCACAAAGTACAGCCCAGTCAGGGTCAGATTCCGTGGGCTGATCCTGCCGAGGCATCAATTCCCCGAAGAACTGACCTCAACAGCGCTGGTCTCTTCTTAAACACGGCTGATTCTGCGCTCTTAGCTGACTAGTAGTGATTGTCCCAGAAAAGCCCAAGTCTCACTTCAGTGATTCCCAATTCAAACATAGGGTGCCCCAGCAGAATTTTAAAGGGGCTTCACTGCCTGCACTGCTCTCAGCATTGTCTTCTACCTTCTCACAATAGTTCACTGGGCTCTGAATGTTTAATGGCTTCTCCAGACCAAAGTTCTTCCAGAATCCTCACACAAGTACAGTCACATGGCACAGCAACATTCTCTGGTACCAATTTGTCTTAATTGGGGTTTCTACCTGCTATGATAAAACACCATGGGGAAACTTGGGGATGAAAGGGTTTATTCTGACTATACATCCGGATCACAGTCTATCACTGAAGGAAACCACAACAAGGACTCAAGGCAGGAGCTGAAGCAGACTACACAGTGAGTGCTACTTACTGGCCAGCTCCTCATGGCTCACCCAGCCTGCTTTCTTACATCACCCAGAACCACCGGTTCAGGGGCTAGCCCCACTGCAATGGACCCAACTGTGTCAGACATCAATCAAGAAAATGCACCACAGGCTTGCCCAGGGTACAGTTTGGTGGGGGCATTTCCGCAGTTAAGTTCCCTCTTCTGAAATGACACAAAAACTACCCAAGCACAGCAGGTGTCAGCTGATCCACTGCAGGGCGACTTCAGTGTTCTTCACCCAGCAAATGTGCTTTTTCAGGTTCCTGTGCACCTCAAGATGCTGTGACCACAGAAGAGTTAGGCCAAGAGCCCGAGAATTCAACACTTGATATTAAAGCATGATAATAGTGACAATTATCCCCACTCCTAGAAGTTTAGCATGGTCTGTGAAGTCAGGAAGAGAACACAGGTGGCGACCTAATGCTACAAAATCCAATTCACTTTCCCCTAACAGCCTCGGTGTGTTTTCTATTTATTGTTTTTTAATTCTTAAGCAGAAAATATTCCATCTCCTGTAACCACGGGGCACTTCTGTAGAGCATGAATGGGGAAGGATCAGAATGAAGGCTGATGATGCGACAGGATCATAAGAAAGGTCGTCAATGCGCTCACGTGAAACTGGTCACCACAGAATAAAGGCAGCAAGCAAGCTTGGTCTTTCAAGCCTTCCACTGAGAGCGCAGAGCTGGCCATGGCTCCCCAAGCTGACAGCTACTAGAAACGAAGCCTTAGGAACCGGCTGGGTTTGGGTTTGTTATTGTTTTTAACACAGCCGTGTGACTGCTTTCTGAGAAGGCAGCAAATTCACCTGGAGCCACCATGGGACCACGCTGGGGAGAGGTAAGCATGCTTCACTCAGTTCTAGCAAGGTCAGCTGACTCACTGGCTCCCTCCACTTGGCCTACCCACCTTAGGAGCAGAGAGGGAGGAGAGGAAGGTGTCCCTATTGTGCCCTGGCTCTTACAAGGTCTTAAATTTCCATGTGCCCATCGCAAAAAATAACAGAACTCTCTGCAATGCTTTATATTTTAAAAAGTCAGCTGAAGTTTTATGCACATTCCATTTGTTAATCATTTTCTTGGGCAGTGAAAACCCCTGCCAGCGTGAGCCCCATGCTGAACTTTGAATGACAGGTTTCCTCTCAGACCTGACAATTAAAAGCTGAATGTTTGAAAACATGGGAAAAGATTTTTAATTTTCCTTGTGATAAATAAGAATTTGAGTTTTCTTGCTCTGTACTGCCCGTTTTTTCCAGAATAAGCATATTATTTTAGAACTATACACCCTGGCATTTCTTCTGGAGAAGGGCTTCGATCCACTCACATACCCTACTGTTGGCACATCCAGGAATCCTGGCCACAGTGTGCTTTGTGCTGAGGACACTGCAAAGGCCCAGCCACCACTCCACACCCTTCTCATCTTAACAAGAGACGCTGCTCCTATGTCTTATCTCGCAACATATTCAGACGACACACATGTTAGATAGCTAAGTATAAAAAAGCATGGGCTGCCCACCCTGCTCTACGGGAAATGGGGTTCCCTCACCCTACTCTACGGGAAATGTGGGTCCCTCACCCTACTCTACAGGAAATGTGGGTCCCTCACCCTACTCTACAGGAAATGTGGGCACCCGGCACAGGACAACCCAGGACTAAGATCAGTAAGTCAGCAGCAGGTACAGGGACAGCAGGTGTTTCCTGGTCCGAATGCCCCAGAGTTTGACATCCTCCTACCTCCAATGACTACACATAAAGCATTGTCCTAACAAAACCAATGAACTCCATTTCCCAGATTCTCCAGATCTCTATCTGCGAGCACCTTCCGTAGATTTACCATGGAATCAGTGATCTGATATCAGCATCACAAAAAGTCATGACAACGGAGAATGCTGTGTCCAGTTCATCCCAGACTAAAGTATGGGACCACTCTCTGCGCCGTGTGGCACACTCACCACGCATGTCTGGAAACGAGAGCGTGTTTCCTGCTCACCTGAAGCTCGCGGTATCTGGCTTGAAAGGACAGGGCATCCTGCTCCTTCTCCTTCAGGAAGTCCTTCTCCAGGACGCTGTGCTTCTCCATCAGTGAGTCCACATCCTACGAGGAAGCCAAACACAAGCTCTGCTACGTCCCATAGCATAAAGTAAACATCAGGAAAAATAGCTGAAAGTCTAAGAATTATACAAGTATGAATTTGCCCAAGTTAACTAATTTCTAAGCCAATATCGAACATTGACGTAAAACTAATAAATATGCAAGACTGAGGCTGGGGAGGCAGCTCAGGGGGTAGAGTGCTCGCTATCTAAGCATGAAGGACCTGAGGGTAGACTGTCCACACATACCCCCCCCCACACACATACACACACACCCACACACCGACACACACCCACCCACACACACACACATAAAGCCAACGGTGTCCACAGGCATCTGCAACTCCAGGACAGAGAGACAGAGACTAGGGTATCCACAGAGTCCCCCAGGCCAACCACCTCAGTGGAATGTGAGCTCTCTAGGTCAGGGGGAGAGCAATAGATGAAGACTTCCCGAACTGACCTCTGACCTCCAGAGAACATATGGGCATGTCCTGCTACATGCATGCAACCATGTACATAGGTACACAGCACAAACACAAAACAAGAAATAAATAAGAACAAGAGTGTCTCAAGAGTATTATGAACAGAACCCAATCTCTGTAAGTGCTTTCGATGAACTGGCTAAGATAAACAGACATGCATATGGGTGGACAAATGGATGGAAACAGACTGAAGAATGTAGAGAAAAGATAACAGATGACAAATAATAGAAGATAGGTAGATGGATAGACAGACAGACAGATGGAAGGACAGAAGGGAGCCAAGAGCATATGTCAGTTCCTTCCCTTAACAGCTGTGTTCAAACACCCAGGGGTACCTGACCTCCCACAGGTAGAAGGTTTCCATCCATTTCATCAAACCTGAAATCCACACATGAAGTAAAACACTGCCGACAGAAACAGAAGCCTTAGAGGAGCAAGAAATAACAACAAAACGCCCCAGAAAAATCTGAGCATGCCTTAGAACTGCATTCAACTTTCGAGTTCATATGGGTCCATGCTGACACTAAAGTCTCAGGATGCTCAAGTTCTTTATAAAAAACAACATGATATTTTCTTATAACCTATACTTATCATACCATAAACACTAAATGATCTTCAGCTACTTGAAGTATGCACAACGGAATTATAAACCCACTGTGCTGTTATGGCAGCAGGAAATGCAGGACTGTAAACAAGCACCTCCAGCGGAGAGAAGGGTGTCCCTGAGAGTCTCCATGTCTGGCTGGTGGGATCGGATGCTGGATGCATGGCTGTGCTAACTACTGACTAGGGACCTGTTCCAAGTTTATTTAGTTTTTGTTATTTATGTGTGTTTGCCTGCATGTATGTATCTATGTGCACGATATGCATACAGGACCCTTGGAGGCCAGAAGAGGGCATGGAGCCGGAGTTATAGACAGTTGTGAGCTGTCATGTGGGTACTGGGAACCAAACTTGGATCCATTTGCAAGGACAGCAAGTGCTCTTGACCACTGGGCCACCCATCTCTCTAGTCCCTGACTGGCTGCTTCTCGTAAGGTGCCTCCACTGAGTGTCCGATGTGACGGACCTGAACCCCACCCCAGGGAACACAATACATTCTTTGGTGAATTTTCAATCCACTTTGTGTTGAACTGGATATCAAATTGTTAGCAAATACGATTCTACATTCCCAGGCGAATGTGTGCGCACACCTTTTTAATTCTCTGTTTTTCTTCTTCAGAGGCTTTGAGTTTGGTCTCCAGACTTGATATTTTTTGCTGGAGCTGTGAGCTGGACACGTTGGCTCCGGGACCCTCAGGGTCGTCCTCCAGTGAAATCGCTCCATGGCTCGTCTCATCCATCAAGCCAAGCCGGAAAAGCGGGATAGTCCGATGTGTGTGCGCTGACTGCTGGATCTAGACCATGTTAACAGAGAAGGGTTAGACCATTCCGTCAAGGAGATGTTCATCATAAACCACAGTTAGAAACAAGCTGGGGTGCAAACAATGAGATCATCCCCCCTAAGTGAACCAACAGAAGACTTCACACTCTTACAACAGCCTGATCTTTCAATCGATACATCTAGAAGTGCCCAGTCTGAAATGCAGACACTGACCTAGGACTGATTTGTAGTTAAACTGCAACTCAGAATCTCACATGTATTCATGATGCTAACTTATCAACTTCTAGCAAAATTGACAGGCGACTAAGAACCGAGTTTTGGAACCCTGTCTCCAAGGCCCAGCACGATGCCTACAGATACCTGAATGAACACACTGTGCTGATGCTGTCCTCCGTGGCTTTACCCTCAAACTGAAATAGATGCTCTTGACCCTAAGAACATGTTAATACTCCCAGGAGAGAAAAAATATTTTTTTAACAAATATATCCCTTTTTGAAGTTTAACTTTAAGTTTGAAATGCAAAAACAATCACTCTTTTTTTATTTACTATTATTCTCCTTTTAAGTCCAAGATACCATATGCAAAACTAAGTCCATTGTAATGGCCACACACAGCTGTCTGTCAGAGTAAAGCATCAACCTTTGTAACAGAAACGCTAGCACCTGAGCACAGAATTAAGGTAGGAAGCAGTTTCTACATTTCTACACGCAGGCTTCCTTTCGAGAGTCCAGCCCTCACCTGAGCCTTGGGGATGATCTGACTCACGAGGCTGCTGTCTGCACGCGTGTCATCTGGTGAGGAGATGATAGCATCGGAAGGGAGGCGGCCAGAGGACGGAGACGAGTGGTCATGGTCCAGAATGAGCTCCGGAGAAGCTGATGAGAGACGCACTCCGGATACTGAAGACAGAAGCACAAGAACCGTGTTAGAAGACAACACAGAGACAGGGAAGGTGGCTAGGAAGGTGTGGGGTAGAGCAGTAGAGGTGGAAAACCAACACTGTGTGGCTAACGTCTAAAATCCAAAGGAGTGTTTCTGAATTACCGGTGATGTTTCCACGGGTCACACACAACATGTTTTAAAGTCGTTAGCACACACACTAGCCTAGCACTGGAGATGTCCATTTCCCAGCAGAGGGAATGTCCAGCCGATGACACAGTACACAGTGCTGGTGTGGCTGAAGGTAAAGGCAGGAGGTATGGAGAGACACTGTCACACACGGGTGACCCTGGCCCCAACCTAGCGGGGCTCAACAGCTAAACATTCACTGCGGCAACGCAAAGACGGAGGAGGGCTGCTGTAAAACCTGGAGGTTCCTCTTACGTAATAAATTTATTTTTAAGTTTTCATGTTAAAGTCAATCTTCACTTACTGGACTGTTTCCACAAGAGTAATGCTGAAGGACAGTTTCACTCTCAGATCCATAACAAACCACTGTTACAGTGTAATTAAGGCTCTTATTAGAAGGGTAAGGAAGCAGCTGACTGACAAGTACAAAAAAAGACAAAAATGCAAATGAGGAAAAAACAGATATTTATATTACTTTATTTTAAATGCTCCCAAAGAGTCAACTGAATCTAATCTGCTTTGGAATGTAAGGAGCTATCTTTGGCAGTCACCTCATTCTCACACCCAGCGGCCTAACTGCAATGACCTTTATTCCACATTGGCATCAGTAGCTCTGTCCTCGGGTCCTATCACAAACTCTGAAGGTGGCTCACAATGGAGATTGCGTGTTCCCCTGAAGAAAGACACAGAAGGCAGTAAATTCTAATGAGCTAAATGCACAGATTTCTGATTGTTATTTTAAGGAATTGCTTAGTTATGTAAAAGCTTATTGTCTCTAACAATGTTGTGTACACTGAATAAGAGGGTGGAGATAAATATAATTTAATAACAAATATAATAACCATGTACAAAAATCTTAAAAGAAAATTAATTTTAAAAAAGGAAATCATTTAGCTGCAGAGTCAGCTTCTTTCTGAACTTAAATCAGTATGCACATGTGTGTCTGTGTGTGTATGCCTACGTGCATGCGTGTTTCTGTGTGTCTAGCTGCACAAAGGGGTACTTCAAATTTTTCAACTCAAGCACAAAAAGGTAGAACTTTAATTCAAGTTTGAACTTGATATATATTTTTCAGTATTTTCCCAAATCCTCCCTACATTTGGTTACAGTGAGTTGTCTAAAAAGATTAAAACATCCGTATGATGAACTCTGAGAGCCATGAACAAAGTACTGCCTGGCACCACAATGTCACACCAAGCGCAGAACAGCGGAGAGCAGCCTGTCCTTCTGTCCTTCCGTGTCTTCGGAAGGTTTGAAAGCGTTTAGCACACTGTGGTTGTCACAGATATTAAATGTCCTGGACAAAATGTGGTCAGGAACAAACCCAGAAGTACCACCCTGTGCTTTCTGTCAACCTGACACAAGCTGGAGTCATCTGGAAAGACAGAAGCTCAACTGAGAAAATCCCCCAGCAGAGTGGCTGTGGGCAAGCCTGTGGTGCATTTCCGCATTTGCGATCCTCTATGGCATAAGGAAGCAGGCAGAGTGAGCCGTGGAGAACAACCCAGCAAACACATTCCTTTTTTTTTTCCCTTTTTAATCTTTCTACGGTTTATTTTTAAATTAAAACTTAAAATTTAAGTTGAATTGCCATGCTCATGATAAAAGATTAAAATACATAGATGTTTAACACCAAAAAAGAAACCCACTTTTCCAATCAAATCCAAATTGTTCTTTTACAACTTGTTAAATAACTAACATTTTGAAAGATATAGTTTAGTAAAATTTGGAATTTCTTGTTAGCATTTTATCATTTTCTTTGTTTGATAAATCTTTTTTTTTTTCAGTCTTTTTTTTATTTATTTATTTTTTTTCACTCTCATGGCCTCTCTATCATCTCCTGCCTCCAGATTCCAGCGCTGACTCTCACTGGTGGACTGTGGTAAGGGGCTGTAAGCTGAAATTAAGCCCTTTCCTCCCAGATTTCTTTTGGTCATGGTGTTTTATCACAGCAGTAGAAACCCCTAAGACAGCCCTAATGCCTGGGTATTTCACGATCTTTGGCAATCAAATCTACGGTCATGATTTAGAACAGGAGGCCATGTAATCCTGGGGGAAATTCTTCAAACACTGAATACCCAAGTTCATCACATGAAAAAAGAAAGAGAGGGGAAGGGGATGGAAAGAAGAGACAGGAAGGGTAGGAAGGAGGGGGGAGAAGGAAGGAAGGAGAGAGGACAGTAGGCAGAAAAGCTGAAGAATGGGAAAAGGAAGTAAAAAGAGAGAGCATGAGGAGAGAAGAGGTTACAGAAGGAAAAGGAGGAGGAGAGAGGAGGGCCTGGCTCTCAGACAGGCACCACCCCCACACACAAGCACCTTCCCCTTCATAACCGCACTTCCTGGGCAGAGAGTAGCCCATCTCTACCTTCCTCATTCCCATTCAGGTCAGTCCCCTGCAGCTGTTACCTAAGGCCCTACTGGCCCTTCGAACACTCGCTCTGCTCTCTGGACCCCTTTAATGCATACAGGCGGCCTGCCCCTTCCTTCAGTCACTCCCAGGCCCATTATTGGATCTCTTATGACCCGCAGAGCAATGGAAACTGAGCACTCCCTGGCCCTCTCGGCCATGTGCCTACCTGATTACCACAAGGATCCATCTAGATGTCCCGCGGGCATGCTACCAGTTCACACCTCCCAGATCAGCCTCATGGCTCACTCTCCATGAACTCAACACTGGATCTGCCAGGCCAGCGCCACCTCATGCAGTCACACTGCTGCTGGCATCTACAGTTCTGTCACACGGCCCAGGGCCTTTATGACATCACAGGGCCACTCCAAACACAAGCCAACCCAAGAGTCGGACTCGGCTCCAGTGTGAACAACGGACAATTCCTTGTTGGTCAGCTTTAGACAAGTTACACGGACTCTTCAGAGTCACGACTTCCTCTTTCAAAGGTGGGAAATAAACAGGCAACTTGAGCTCACAATCAAAGGCCTGACCGAGCTGAAAGAAAACAGCACTTCTCTGCGCAGGTGCAGGGTGTGTGAGCAAACACAGCAGTGAACAGAGTCAGAGCGCTGTGTTCTCCGCGGAGGTGCAGGGAGTGTGAGCACACAGAAGTGGACAGAGTCAGAGCGCTGTGTTCTCTGTGGAGGTGCAGGGTGTGTGAGCACACACAGCTGTGGACAGAGTCAGAGCGCTGTGTTCTTTTCCACAACACTGAAGAGCAGCTTCTCTGCATCATTCCACCTGCCCCATTATCTGCTCACTCGCAATGTAAATCTATTATCTGCTTTCAGGTGAGAATATTATCTAAGAAACAAATGACCATAAAACATTACTTACCTGAATCTGCACTATATGTAAAGCAGTAATTAGGAATGCAGATGTACAGACATACATATACAATCTAGAAACTTTTATAAAAAACTAATTACTTTCCCAATCAAACTAAAGAAATGAAAAAGAGAAATTAGAGTGGGATAATATGGGTATTAAAAAAGATTTGTAAAATAATTGGTCTAATCTTTAAAATTCTGGGTTCAAAGCAGAGCTAAGAATAACAGTAGCTAATCCGCTAAAACGGGCAACATGTGAACATAAACAATTGAATGGCAACAATCAGAGCTTTAAATTGGGAAATTTTCTTTATTTTAAGTGTTCAAATTTCTAAATAATTAATTTAAAATTTTCATTAAAATGGCAAATGCTTAAAGAAATACAATTTGTGAAGCTGACTTGGTTAGTTTTTAGAACAGGTCTCTTGAGGAATATACCTTTTCTTTGGGGGAAATTAAGCCATAGACAACAACCCTATAGACAAGCATGAAGCTCCAAAGACATCACAAGGCCTTTTTTTTTTTTCTTACCAAGGGCCGAACCTATATAATCCCAACACTCTGAAATAAAAATTAAAGGAAACCTCAATATGAACAAATCGTCCTGTTCCAATGTCAAACGGTTGGATGCCTCATGAGAACAATGACGAAAGACATGCTGAGTTTGGTTAAACAAGAGAGAACACTTCGTAAGTTCAGCAAACAATGTGAGAAAAACCGTGACAAAGGACACAAAGGGAAGCTCAGTGTTGAAACATGGAGCGGCAGGACTGCGTCCCCAGCACCCAGCCACCCACATGGCTAGCTCTAGATTATGCCCCGAAATAATTACACGGAAACTGTATTCTTTTAAACACCGCTTGGCCCATTATATCTAGCCTTTTCTCCGCTAACTCTCACACCTGGACTAGCCCATTTCTTATAATCTGTGTAGCCCACGAGCTGGTTTACCAGGAATGATCTTAACCTGCGTCTGCCTGGAGTGGGAGAATCATGGCGACTCCCTGACTCAGCTTCTTTCTCCCAGCATTCTGTTCTGTTTACTCCACCCACCTATGTTTTAACCTATGAGGGCCAAGCGGTTTCTTTATTGCTTAACCAATGAAATCAACAGATTGATAGATGACACTCCCACATCAGCTCAGGCCAAGACAAAGACAGCCCTGCAATTGTAAAGACCTCAACGCCATCCAGTGGTCCTTCCTTCCTTGGTTAAGGCACAGGCTTCGTGTGATTCCCATACAGACTAACAGGCTTTTCAATGGGGCAAAAGAAATGGACACTATGGACCACAGAAAGAGGTAGCCACAGAAAACTCCTGCGTGAAGTTACAATGAACGACAGCAAAACTTCAGCCAATGAAGAGGCAGCAAAGCAGATCAGAACAGCCTGAGAGAGACTCATCAATGGGAAATACGTACAGAAAAGGCAAGGTGTATTAAGTCACTGAGATCATAAACATTTTTTTTTGGCCTTTTGGGAAGAGGTAAGACACAAAATAAAATCAAAGATTTAAGGGGTGAAAGATGTCTCGGTAATTAAAAGCACTTGC